CCAGTTTTACCTAGTAGAACACCTTTTTCATGGTCATAGCCTCTGGAGTCACTTTTGGACATCATAGCAGGCATATTGACTTTAGGCAATTTGTGGTCGCTAAAACATAGAAAGATACTAGGTGGTTCCCTTCATTTCTTATTCTCTTTAATTCAGACTCCATTGTTAACTTTAATTGAATTTCGCATGTGTTAAATTACTTTATTTATTAAATAGCTTCTATTAAAAGTCTTATCAGTGTGCTCACAGTGCTTGACTGCCCTTCATTACACATGAACCATTCTTACAGATCATTAGAAAGATTGAGCCGTATTTACTGTGTTTAGTTACATTACCTGACATATGGTATAATGACCATTTATTGTTGTATCACATAACTTGCTGCCCAAGAAAGGTTTGAATAATGCAGGAATTTTTCATAGCATTGGATATATCATTTAAAACTATGCTGCTTAAGCTTTTTGGAGAAAAAAAACCTTAAGACATTTTTTTCCAAATTGTGTGTAGTTATGGTATGTTCAGGTTCTCTTTAAATTAAAAAAATTTTTTTTGCTCAGTGTATGTATTTAGAGAATTGATTACTGTCACAAGATGTGTTCAGATAAGCACCAGACGGTAGCCTTCCCATCTCCATCTTCTCTTTCACAAGACTGCCACCTTCAACTCAGTTAAGTAAGTACACACAGCATGTTGATCATTGCAGAAAGCTCTGTTAAATAGTGTTACTAGTTTAGAAGGTGCAGCGGCAGAGATGTGTGACTTTAGTAGCTGGTGTAGAGCTAGATCCATGCAAAGCAGGGGTTGGTAAAGGTGGCACTGATTTCTCTAGAATAGTCCCACCATGTGGTTAGGCATTATTTCTGGCTCTGGGGTATCCAAGACTACTTTCCACCATTCTGGAGAGTCTGTGAACTTCCTCGTGTCCTTTAACTACAAATACCTTCCTAGCTCAGCTTGAGTGGTCAGTTCTCTTGCATTGTATGAGCTGTTTTACTGACACTCTTTTTTTTTTTTTTTTACTGACTGGATATTGGGAAGAGGGCCAGTTGAGTAATCAAATTGGCCAGTTTTTCTAGCCATTGCCAATCCAAATGATTATAAATTGAATGATTAAATGATACTGAGATGAAAGAAAATTGCCATGAGGGAGAAATTACTTTGGAAAATCTCCAAATAGATAATTGCATATGTAATTATTAACTGAGCGGATAGGTGTTTCTCCAGACTTTTGTGGCATGGTTTGGGCTATATTTGGACATAAGGTCAGCAGTTCAAAGCCACCAGTTGCTCTGTGTGAGAGAAAGATGAGGTTGGCTGCTCTTGTAAACATTTATAGCCTCAAATCCTAGGGAGCAGTTCTCTGCCCCATCTAGGGGCATAATGAGCCCAAATGTACTCTGGTAGTGGGTTTAGAATGTTACCTTGTTAATTTCAGGACCGACAGGGCCCCTTCAGAGAGAAGTAATCCTTAGCCTCTATGCTGCCCAGAAGGTGGCCTACCTACAAGGCAGCCCAGGAGGTTACAGGCATGCCTGAAATGCTTTGAGAAGAGCCCAGAGGATGTGGGTGGTTCTCAAGGACTGTGATAGAGGAATCGTGTAGGACTGAAGATGCCTAGGTCAGTATTATTTAAGTCTCTATCATTGTTGAAATCCTGTTCAGCACGTTCAGTGGCCTCTTCTCAAAAGTCTCACTGCCATCGAGTCAGTTCTGACCCATGGTGACCCTATAGGACAGGGTTGAATTGCCCCTGTGCGTTTCCAAGACTGCTATTCCTTACGGGAGTTGACTGCCCAACGTGCAGCCACCATGTCACCAGGCCCCCAGAAAGGTCTCTAGGCACCTCAAAATGATGCTCCTGTGATCACAGTTTTTTTGTCTTTTTTTTTTTTCAAAACCATTTTATTGGGAGTTAATGCAGGTAGCATATCATTCCATAGTTCAAACACATAAAGCCGTATTATACAATTGCTACCATAATCAGTGGGGGTTTTTTTGGTCTTTTTTTTTTGTCTTTTCTATAGAACATGGGAATTAGACATTACAAGTTTGACATTTTGGTGGGAAAGAATTGTGGTTTCTTGTTAAAGATAACTGACATTAAATTTTAAAACAGAAGTAATGTTTCTCTTGTAACTACACTTCCAGAGGTTCCTACCCTCGGTTGGCCTCTCACACTCCCCCGTCCCCAGCCGTCAGAGAGGCGCCCTGCTTTTCTCCTATAGCACCTTGTACTTCCCCTGGTGTGGCACTTTGCTCATTGTTTTAGCTTATTTATTAGCCCAGTTCTTCTGAGAAAGAGAATTGGGTCTGTCTTGTTGATTGTGCCAGGCTGACCGTGATCGGTCTGTCTCGTGCTTGGCACCTTTGGCCTACAGACAGGATGCCCATTTGTTTGGGAACTGGATTTAGCCTAATACCCACCCTGAAAGGCCAAGAGGTTCATTCTCTGGATGGGCTAAGGACTGGGAAGAGTGCCACTGGGCTTACTGGCATGGTTCTCTCACCACAACACGAGAGTCTGCACCTTATCTCTAGGAAATGGGGCACTTTCTTGGAATAGAAGAATAAGCAAGCTCATACCCCTAATGAATTCAGGAGGTGAAAATGTATAGATGCTTACTGGTTCCAAACTCAGCATTGGAAAGGAATCCATCCACTTTAGGCCACTGTGCCAGCACCGCCGCCGCCACCCTCCACCCCCAATCCCACCCTTTCCTTTAACATTTTCAACTTTTAATGAAAAAAATGTGAAAGTACAAAATAATTGTAAATGTTTTGAAGCAGATCCAGGTGCTGTGTAGTTAGAACTGTTGAGTATTTCGGTGTTAGCTCACCAAAACATACTTAAAAAGAGCAGTAATTCCTTAACATCATCCAAGATGTGATATTCTGAGCATTCTGTTAAGGTAGTTATGGAGACGTCTTGCACTTCAAAACAGACCCCAGAAAATGGTTCTCGAGCTCTTTTCTCTCTTATTTTCTTGCGCCATCATTATTTTACTGAAGTATAATACATATGCCATCAGATTGCTTGTTTTCAGTATAGTTCAGAGGCTTTCAGTAAAGTTGCGCAACCATTGCAACAATCCAATTTTAGAATATTTGTCACCCCCAAAGAACCTGTGTCCCGTTGCCCATTCCTACCCCATCCCTGATCACCACTTGGTTCTAACAGAACTATCCCAGTGAATGCCATACCAAACCAGTGTATTCGCTCATCATTTAGGGACTGCTGTCTAAATACAGGGCACTGGCTCCAGGGGCAAGCTCTTCCTTCCTTCAGGATTTCCATGTGCCTGGGCATCACTCTTGCCTTGGGTCTATGCTGTTCTTAACATAGGGACCATTGGTCCAAAGGATTCCCTCCACTCTTGGGTCTTGGTAGTAGTGAGCTCTTTCTCTTCTGAGCTCACTTCTCCTTATGTCTGGTTTTTGTGATACAAAGTGTGTCTCGAGGAAGAGCATGGCTCGAATATAGGGTAGTAACAGGAGGAAGGCTGAGACTCTGGTAGACACGAATCAAGATAGCACCCCACACTAATCTTTACATCATTAACACAGGTTAGGATTTACAACACATCACAAAATGGAGAATAATGGCATCAGATCACACAAATCAGAGGACAACAACATGATACTGGAAATCATGGCCTAGCCAAGTGCACACATTTTTGGGAGACCTGGCTCAGTCGATGACTTTGTGTTGCTGTAGATTTACTTTTGTAAATAGACCGTACACTGACCGCAGCACCGGCAGCATGGCACATGTTGCTGGTGATTATGTGGTCCTTCCATATTGAAATGTGTTAGCACGGTGTTCCTTTTATTTCCAAGCAGGCGTCCATTGTGTGCATATACTGATCTCATTTAACCGGTCAGCTGGTTGAGGAACCCTTGGAGTGCTGTCACCGATTGGTTTATACATCCCCCAGGGCTTCAGAGTCAGCTAGACCTGTTTCAAAAATTAGAATTTTGACCAAGATAAAGAAAAAACCTAAGGTTTTACTAATCATTGAGGTGCTTCAACAAAACACCTTAGCCAGATCATTACATAATGACAGACTGCAGCCCGTGCACGGGCATCTGTTTGGTTTTTATTTACTGCTCCTCTTACTGTAAGCCGACTGCCGAGCAGACTTAACACCAGTTCCTACGTCACGGCCTTACCTTTGCCCCACTTCCACAGGCATGTTCCCCACTGGTTCCTGAGCCTTCTGGTTTGTGCAGGCTTACAGAGAAATCGGATTGTACTATTCATGGATTTGGCTTTGGTAGGCTCAGTTATCACTCACTCGGCTGCTCACCAGCTTCCAAAATGTTAATTGATGTCTCCTTTCCCTCTCTTTTCTTTTGTTGGTTCATAGTTGGAAAACAGCAACTACAGAGAACTTTGTATTTCATGGTAAGATGAAAAGCTTGTGTGCCATCATTTCCAGAACTGGAACTTTTCCTCATTAAAATTCGTAAACTTTTTATTGTGAATTGGTAGAGGTCTGCAGAGCAGATCATTAGCTTTGCATTCAACAACTCAAACACATTGTTTCAGCTCATCCATTGCAGTATACTGTCTCCTCCTCTGATTTCTCTATTTCCTGGCTTGATGTGTGATTTAGGGTCAGAGTCTCGGGGGTCCTACCTGTCTCTCCAACCCCCCATTAAATACTGGCTGCCATTTCCATTGATTTAAGATCCTGAAAGATTTTGTTTTGACTGTCTTGGCATTTTTTCCTTGACCTCATGGAATGTCAAGCCCCTGGTAGGCAGTCACCCACACATTGGTCTAAGTGTAAGAGGGAGCTTGTGATGAGCCTGTAGCTGCCCCCACACGGGGGCATGTGCCCCTGGGTTGGTAGTAGAATTGGCATATGCTCCTTATTTGGTGGCCTCTTTGTCTCTGTGCCCACCGTCCAATAGCAGGAGCTCTGGAAGGTCCCCCCTTGGTCCTCCATGACGCCCTTTGTGCTCTTAACACTTTTCTTTTCTTTTACCCCCCTTAGGATCATGGATTTTCCAGGACACTTTGAACAGATCTTCCAACAGCTGAACTACCAGAGACTTCACGGCCAGCTCTGTGACTGCGTCATTGTGGTAGGGAACAGGCATTTTAAAGCTCACCGCTCTGTGCTGGCAGCATGCAGCACGCATTTCCGTGCCCTGTTCTCGGTGGCAGAGGGCGATCAGACCATGAACATGATCCAGCTGGATAGTGAGGTCGTCACGGCGGAGGCCTTTGCCGCACTGATGGACATGATGTATACCTCTACCCTCATGCTGGGGGAGAGCAACGTCATGGATGTCTTGTTGGCAGCCTCTCACCTGCATCTGAACTCTGTCGTTAAGGCCTGTAAACATTACCTGACGACAAGGACGCTGCCCATGTCGCCCCCCAGCGAGCGTGTTCAAGAGCAGAGTGCCCGTCTGCAGCGTTCTTTTATGCTGCAGCAGCTGGGTCTGAGCATCGTGAGCTCGGCCCTCAGTTCCAGCCAGGGCGGCGAGGAGCAGCCGGCACCCATGAGCTCTTCCCTGCGCAGTAACCTGGACCAGCGGACACCTTTCCCCATGCGACGCCTTCACAAGCGCAAGCAGTCTGCAGAGGAGCGAGCCAGACAGCGCCTGCGACCCACCATGGACGAGTCGGCCATTTCAGATGTTGCCCCAGAGAATGGGCCTCCAGGGGTTCATTCTCGGGAGGGGTTCTTTTCACCAGATTCCCTGAAAATGGTGGATAACCCAAAGGCTGACGGCCTGACAGACAGCCAGGAAGACAGCACCATCATGTTTGACCAGTCTTTTGGTGCTCAGGAAGATGCCCAGGTGCCCAGCCAGTCTGACAACAGTACTGGCAACATGGCCCAGCTGTCCATGGCCTCACGTGCTACCCAGGTGGAGACGACTTTTGAGCAGGAAGCCACAAGTGAGAAAAATGGGTTCCAGTGTGAAAACCCCGAGGTTGGCCTTGGGGAGGAGCACGTGAGGGTGGTGGTAAAATCGGAGCCCCTGAGCTCTCCTGAGCCTCAGGACGAAGTGAGCGATGTGACCTCCCAGGCTGAGGGCAGCGAGTCCGTGGAAGTGGAAGGAGTCGTGGTCAGTGCTGAGAAGATAGACCTCAGCCCAGAAAGCAGCGACCGAAGTTTCTCAGATCCCCAGTCTAGCACTGACAGGGTGGGAGACATCCACATACTGGAAGTCACAAATAACCTAGAGCATAAGTCTGCTTTCAGCATTTCAAATTTTCTGAACAAGACCAGAGGAGGGAGCTTTAGCACAAGCCAGAACAGTGACGACAACATCCCCAACACCACCAGTGACTGCCGGCTGGAGGGGGAGGCCTCTTACTTGTTGAGCCCTGAGGCTGGGCCTGCAGGTGGGCCTTCCTCGGCGCCTGGTTCTCACGTGGAGAACCCATTTAGCGAGCCCACAGACTCCCGTTTTGTTAGGCCTATGCCAGAAGTAATGGGCCTGCCCTGTGTGCAGACTTCAGGCTACCAAGGAGAACAGTTTGGGATGGATTTTTCCCGATCTGGTTTGGGCCTCCACTCCTCCTTCTCCAGGGTAATGATGGGCTCCCCAAGAGGAGGAGCCAGTAACTTCCCATATTACCGCCGCATTGCCCCCAAAATGCCGGTTGTAACCTCCGTCAGGAGCTCACAGATCCCCGAAAACCCCACCAGCTCCCAGCTAATGATGAATGGGGCCACATCCTCATTTGAAAGTGGGCATCCTCCCCAGCCGGGTCCTCCGCAGTTGACCAGGGCTTCTGCTGATGTCCTGTCCAAGTGCAAGAAGGCCTTATCGGAGCACAATGTTTTGGTCGTAGAGGGCGCACGCAAGTATGCCTGCAAAATCTGCTGCAAGACTTTCCTGACCTTGACAGATTGTAAGAAGCACATTCGTGTTCACACAGGTGAAAAACCCTACGCCTGCTTAAAGTGTGGCAAGAGGTTTAGCCAGTCCAGCCACCTGTATAAGCATTCTAAGACAACCTGCCTGCGCTGGCAGAGCAGCAATCTGCCCAGCACTTTGCTCTAACCCTGCCCCTGAGGTGGTGCTGAGGTGAAGTGGCAGGATGGAACATACGTCTCTGTTGGTAGGAGGGTAAGGCCATGGGGTTTGAGCTTCAGGCTGCAGCAGCTCTTGGGCATTTGGACGGTAGAGACGAATAGATGCAGTACTTGTGCTGCTACATTTCTGCACCGCCAAAGTTCATGACTTGGCACAAGGATGTGATCCCTGGAGCCAAGTGGAGTAAAAGAATTTGTAATTGATGTCGTTCAAGGTGGCAGATTGAAAAATTGAAGTGCAAAAAAAATTTTTTTTTAGCAATTTTTGTAGAACTCTGTGAAGCATTTAATTAAATTTCCTATACCCTCTGACATGGGCAAAAGATGTGGCATTGTGCTTCCATAAAGATTATAGCTTTGGAAACCCTATGAAGCAGTTCTACTCTCTCTGTAGGGTGTGAATCGACTAGACGGCAGTGGGTTTTACACCCATGTAGAAATATTACATACCTGGACAGTGATGCAAAACGCACTTCTGTGTAACCAGTGGCGCCTGCGCTCTGGTCTGAAAGGAAAGCCTTTGAGGACGCGCCTGTCTGCCACACTGCTTCAAAGTGTATCCTGAGCTAGGTTAGGCCCCGGAAAGTACTGTATTTTTCATTTTGGTCCGATTTGCAGTCAGACACTGCACTTCCATGGTGCTGACACTGTGTCCAGGGTGAGCATTCTCTTGGACTACAAGGTGTATATACTTTTGAGTACATTACTGTTAAAGAGTTTTAACAATTTCCCTGGATTTAAAAAGGCAATTGGAAACACATTGTGAACTTTTAAGAGTAACAAGATACTGTTTCTGTGGGTGCTGTAGTAGCAGTATTTTAACCAATGTGTATTACAGATGTTAAGTCAAAAAAAAAAAAAAAAGCTAGTGTTTGTCTTTGTTCTGATGCCCCAGTCACGTTTTGTGGGACCTTTCATGGCACATTTGCCCTTTTGCCTGGGCCAGATGCCAGGGTAGACCTGTCCTGTCTGACACATCTCAGCCCTGGGCCATCCTATTCTCTGCTGCTGCTGCTCTGCACACACTCCCAGGCCCCAAGTGGCATCTTCACAGCCAAGCTTGCTTTAATAATATGTTAACCCAAACATAACGTCAGCGTCCCCCTGCCCTGGCTTTATCACTAACATAACTGATTTCACAGTACAGCACAGGTCCTGCGTCTTTGTAGTTGTTGCTTTCCTCATCCACTCCTGAACGGGTGAATGATCTGAAACCTACAGGTTGCAGTGTTCACAAACACATTCCCAGCCTCATGGCCTAGAAGGCTCCAACTAGCACGTGAGACTGTCAAAGGCAGCATTGGGTCACTGCCCAGGTCCTCGGTGTGACCCGTGGCAGCCTTTCCCCAACCACATCTTCTTGTCCCCTGGTAACAGCCATCAGGGCTGTTGGGGGCTTGTTTGGGGCTGAACCTGGCTTGTGCACTTCCGGAGGAACAGCTTAGTTTCTAATGCATAGCAGTAGAACTCATGACATCATAGTTTGACTCATGAAAGCACGTGTTCATTTTTTCTTTTTTAAAAAAATATAGCCTTTTTAGAGATACCAAACCATTGTGCATAATTCAGAGAAGCCCTTCAAGTCTTATGTTTAGAAAGCTAAGTGTGTATGTATAACCTGAGACACAATGGGTCTTTGCTTTCTCCTTGTACTCTAATGTATACATTTCCACATGTCTGTAGATTAACCGGGAATGCTTATAGTCGGGCTTAGTTCCCCCTAAGAACTGGCTCCCAGGGAGGCAAGTCTCTGTGGTCCCTCTCCTTTGAAGCACACATGGACAAGAGACCTTTGGAAGATACGGGGTTGCCAGCGATGCTCAGTTCTGACTCAATGTGAGGGGACTACATCTAAAATGAGGGGTGGGGGGGACCAGTGATTTTTGAGGTACTTAACTTTGGGAGGGAAGCAGGTCAGCATGAAGAGCAAGAGAGGGCGTCTGAAGAGCTGTTCTTCTTCCCTTCCATTGGCAGGAGGACCCAGAGCCGGTCTCTCACCTCAGCTAGCGACTTAAGTGGACTTTGTTTGGGGTCCCTCAGAGAGCTCCTGGAGTCCTGCCTCTCCACTGCTAGATAGAACCTGGAGTCTCATCTACCTCTTAATCCTTTTGTTTCTATGGGGGAGAAGCAAGCTTGTAGACCTGTGTCCTAGTACGTGCGGCAGCACTTAAAACATCATTCAAAGGGTCACTGGACAACCAGTCCCTGGGCTCCTCTGACCCTTGCTTTCTACCTGAATTTTGATTGGTTAGCCTTAAAGCCTGACATAATCCTGTAGAATCCTTTGGTGATCAAATCCTATCTATCAGGGCATCCTGCCAGTGGTGCTATTAAGTTGCTCCAAGTTTGAGATTTTGAAATAAAAAAATTTGTCATAGTTATGCTTCAAACTACTAAATATGTGTCCTTTTTTTTTTTTTCCTTGCTTAGGCTATTGAGATTAAAACCTAAAAGGGAAATAAACATTTTCATCTCGGCTAGCCCTGCTTTTTGACTAGTGCTATTTTTTTTTTTCCAAACAAAGCTACTAGGATCTACTCTGAATCTGTGAATTGGTAACAATGATTGGTCATTCTTTTCAGGTTACTCCCCTGCCTTCTCTGCCCTTGACCTGTGCACACACAGTGACATTTTGCTCCCAGTGCACCCAATTTCCTTCTGAGTGGGCCCACCCACTCTGCCTGCCTCTCAGGTTTGTCTCTCCATTTGTTGGTGTGGTAGTTGTCGGGGAGGGCTGGGATCTAGGGCCTTGGGCATGGAGCATGGCTTTGGCAGTGCAGGGCTTGTAAGCTGGCCTTGAGGGAGGGAGGGTGGTGGTGATGATTGGAAAGGGACTATCCCTCCAGGGAGTGAGGATGGAGGAGGAGGAGGTAGGAAGTATGCTGAAACAAATTTTACAATAAAAACTAAGAAACCTGATAAAAACTAAGCCTCTGATGATTTTTAACAAAAAGACAATAGTATTGTGACCTTAACTCTCCTCTGCTCTATGGGCTCCTGGTTTTGTCTGCTGGTCTAGGCATGTGCCGCAAGGGTCAGGGCCCTGTTGTCAGGAAATGAAGGGCATTGAGCCGAGAGGAACAGGGATAAATGGGTTTGGCTAGGTTCTTAGAGTTAACCTGCTGGGGGACAAGGCAGTTGCTTGATGCCCTGGGAGAGAAAAAGTTACCGGATAACACTTTTCATTAGTGTCCCAGTTCCAGAATGATTTAATAAGAGAGTTGACACTTTTTGCTACACTGTTTTCCAACCACAAAAGTGGCCAGTGCGTCCATTAGCACCGTCTTCCCTCTACAGAATTAGGACAGATCAGATGCCCCATCCTGTGGGTCCAGATTGAGCCTGGGACATCTGACAGGATACCGGGCACCACGGTCTTCTGACACTCCGGTCTGGTTGGTTAGAGTTTGAGCTCGCTGGGCATCGGCTCCCCTCTCAAGCCAGCCAGCAAGTTGTTAGCTGCCAGCAAGGACATAGTGTTGCGGGTTCTGTAGGTGGCACTGCCAATGTGGGGCAGGATCACTGGAAAGAAGAAAAGGAGGTGCGATGAGTTGTAAGATCCCACGGCCTGGGATTGCCAGTGAGAAGAACAAAGACCCTACTTCCACAAGTTGGGATGTGCGACCTGTTCCGCTGTCATGGGGGCTAAGGGTTACAGCGACCGAGTTAAGGGACTCCAGGCTGTTGAAACCAGACACAAGTGTGATGAGAAAGATGTATCATAAGTACAAGAGTGTCATGGTCAGTTGGGGTCTTGGATCCTAACTCCTCCCAGCCCTTCAGTTAGTAGATGGTGGACTGGGTAGTGATGGAGCTAGGTTTAACACATTCTCCACGCACTGTTCCTGAAAGGCTGCACAGGGCCAGGGTTTTCCTGATCTGCAGCAGTGAGCCTGAGCTGACATGCTGGGTAGCACAGCCCCACTGGCTCTGCTGCAGAGCAGTGAGGCCACTTGTTTCCCAGAGAGCTGCTTTCTGAAAGGACAAGAGGCACTGAGCTGACCTCTAAGGCCCTGGGGAGGGAGGGAAACAGCTCTCAGCTGTGGGCAGTAGCCCTGATCACAGCCAATGTTCTTGCAGGCTGTGGGAAGTTTTCAAGGCCCACAGTGCTGGCATTCACAGGGGAAGTCAGAGCAGGGCCTTCTGTGAGCATCTAGTTCAGAATATAAACAGGCAGCCAACCTGGCGTCCTTATTAGCACCCTCACAGCTGACTTTGTCTGGCGAGAGGGGAAGAAGTGTCGCGGGCTGGGTACAAAGCTATTAGCTAGGTCACTGAAGAGGTTACAAATACAAAGGCAGTGTCCCTGAACAAGCAGCAGCATCCAAGAACAGGCTAGACACGAACAGTCTCAGGCCTCTTCTAAGAGCTATTGAGGCCAAAACTTGGGCTGGATTCCAGCCTCCAGGGGACTGGCACGCACAGACGTTTGGGACCCACTACACTAGCCAAAGTAGCACTTGCAGGAAGGGGAACGGGTGCGTGAGGTGTTCTGGACAATTCTCGTAGTTAAAATGCTAGGGAATGGGGGCTGATTGATCGCAACCTACACAACTGACACAGGGTCCACGGGAGTCAGAGTTGACTCGGCACTGAGTTTAGTTGGGCTTTTTGGTTTGAGACAAGTGAAGGAAGGGGCCCTTGGAAGCTGACACTCAGACCCCTGTGGTGAGGGCACCGACCGCTGCTTGCGCCTCTGCCAGGGTCCCCTGCAAATTGGATTTACCAGGTACTACAGGCAGGAATTGCTACCATGAGGTTCCATTCTCAAGACACCTGACAGGAAGGAGCAAGTCTGGTTGGCCGCCGGTGCCCTCACAGCAGGGCCAGTGGCCCAGCCCTAGCACCACAGAGCCCGATACCAGAGGTTGAGTTTGGAGACAAAAGAAAGGGCTTTATAACACCCAAGTTATCAGTGTTGGTATCACAGTTCCACTTGGGATTTCTCACAGTTAAAGCTTGTTAGTAGTAATTCACAGTAACTGATTTTACCCACAAGTAGCTGTGCAGATAGACACCCAATCAACCACTTTTTAAAAAGAAATGAATTCACTCACCCCCACATACAACTTTCTTTAGCTTATCTCCTATGTCACTTGCCAGCATCCCAAGGACACCAAGCGTCTATGGTTCTGGGTGCGGCCCTCCATACTATACAGCTTCACCGTCCGCAGCTTGAAATGCTGTGGTCCTAGTGTGTGGAAGAGGACTTTCATTCTAAAAGGCCAGTTCTTACCGCAGTTCTTCAGGGTCAGGAGAGGGTGGTTTGTAGGCAGTGGTTCCGGGGTGGTCACATCAAGGCCAGCAGCTGCAATCTGACCACTGGCCAAGGCCTGGTACAGGTCATCCTGGTTGACCACATCGCCCCTGGGGATGACAGTGGTGGTGTGAGTGCCCTCAGCGACCTTGCCCCAGGCTGCTTAGGGCAGAATATCCGTGTAATGCATCCTTCCTCACGCCCAGGCACTAGCTATTACAGCAGACAGGGCTCACCCATTTCTCCTCTAGGAGGCACACAAAGAAACAAAAGATAGCCCACTCAAAAGAATAAAATTAAGGATAGGAATAGGCGCCATGGAGGTCCAGATAATAGACTTAAGAGACAAAGTCTTTAAAACAACAATAGTAAACCTCGAAGAGCTAAAGGAAAAGACGGGAAGCAAGCGAATGACGATACACGGGCAAAATACAAAAAAAAACTTAAAAGAAACCTAACAACTACTGAAACTGACAAGTACGGAACTGAAATGGGAAATTCACTGGAGGGGCTCAACAGATTAGAACTGAGAAGAAAGCATCAACAATGGAACCGATGGAGTCGGGAATAACACGAAAAATGAATGGAGAACCGTGGACTGAGTCATAGGGGACTTGTGGGACATTTGTACTGTCAGAATCTCAGAGGAGGAAAGAGAGTGGCCAAAACATTCTATGAATTTACAAATCCAAGAAGCTCAACAGAATCTAAGCAAGATAACCCAAAGAGAGTGACGCCAAGCCCCATGACACTCTTGACTCTTGTAAACTTAAATCAAAAGCACCCTCAAAGCAATAAGAGAGAAGCAAATTGTAACACACAAGGGACCCTCAGTAAGATCAACATCAATTTCCACAGGGCCACGGAGGCCAGCACACAGTGGGAGTCTGACATATATAAAGTGCTGAAAGGGAACTGCACTACCAACCGAGAATTCTCTCTCTGGCAGAACTGCCCTTAAGAAATGAGGGTGGCCCGCCCAGCTGCACCGGTGGCTCACTGAAGCAGCGGCGGCCACCGACCACGCACTTGCGAACCCCTTGGGTCCCCGAAATGCGAGGCCCAAGGACCGGATGAACATGCAGCACTGTCACCTGCCGTGCCTCCCGGAGAATTACCAGATGAAGTGCTACTTCCACCACTGGCTCTCCCAGCCCCAGCTCTCTGACATAACAGGGGACAAGAATGGGGAGATTGTTGGCCACGTGCTGGCCAGAATGGCGGAGGACCCAGAGGACGTGCCCCGTGGGCACATGACATCGCTGGAGCTGAAGCTGATGGACCAGGCCTGCCAAGCTAGGATTGAGAACTTCCACGTTAATGTCTCTCTGCACGACAGGAGGAGTAATGGAGCCGCCCAGCACCTCCACTCCAACACCTTCAACTTCCAGATCAGGGAAGTGGAGCCCAAGTCCCACGCGGATAGGGAAGATGCGTGTGCCAGGAAACGGGGTCTCACCCAGATGGCGGGAGAAACTGAGGTGGCAGCTGCAGCTGAAGGAGAAGGGCAGGCCCGTGTTGCTGGGGCCCATCGACAAGAGCAACTCACTGCCAAGTGCAGGCGAGGCCTCCCGGGAGCAAGGACCTCAGGTTATTGTGACCACAGAGAGCACGATGTCAAGATCAGCTCAGAGGCCTCCGACTCAGCCTCCTAAGCCTGACCAATCCCCATTGGGCTGCAGCCCCACCTCCCCCTACCTACTCGATCACCCAGTAAAGGTCACCCCTGTCCTAGGAGGAGCAAAAATGAGAGTGAAGACATGGCTATGTGAAAATGGAGCTCATGACCATGAGATCGGGTTGAGAAGAAAGAACACTAGATAGTAATGCGGCGCTGCGTGAAGAACAGGCCTTCCCGGGGATGTAGGGCAGCCTCAGGTACCTGCTGATGTTGACAAACACAGCCGTTTTCTTCGTCTTCCGGAAGAAGTCCTTGTTGCAAAGCTCCTTGGTTGCAGGTGTTAGGGAGCAGGCGACCACGATGAAATCAGACATGGCGGCCAGCTCGGGGACAGACACTAGAGGAGGGCCGGGTTCCATCAGACACCGATGCCCAGATGAGGGGCAGTAAGGTGGGGGGAGACCAGGCTCTCCCCTCCCCCCCTGCATCATGGAAACTGCTGGGGTGGTTCCTACAGGTCTCTGGGCAACTGATGCCTACCAATGCCACAGCCATTCATGGAGCCTGCTGTACCAGCTCAGTCCACCAGTCCCTTGGCCTAATGGGGAAACTGAGGCCAGGGAGGGGCAGGAACTTATTCCCAACCTGCAGAGCCACGTATGCCAAGGGGCTGAGGAGTAGCTAAAGCTGAGCTGTGTCTTCTGCCGGGAGACTGCCTCCACCTGGACAGAAGGGCTTTTTCTGATTCACACAAAGCTTGGGGATACTACCACTTCATTAGAAAACTGAGTTAAAGTCCCTGGTTCTTCCTTATACCCTATCACCATCTCTCCTGCACAGAGAAAATTCCCCGTGTGACCACGGTTTCTGTCCCTGAGGGGGCCTGTGTGTCCAGCAGGGAGATTAGTTAGTAACACAGGGGGCCCCGGACCTGCCTGCAAATGGTGCTGTTAAAGAGGATGGGAAAACCCCGAGATAGGGCCCAGAGGGGTTTCCTGTGGGCATCAAGGTTTTACCTACCAAACTCAGCCTGGAATTCCTCTGCTTCCTGAGGCCGGGGATGCCGTCCAGTGTATAGAAATCTCTGGACACCAAATGGTTTCAGACGGCGAGCAATCGCCTGACCTGCACACAAGGAGTGGGTTCACAGCTTGGTCCCCACCCACCCACAGAGAGCAGGGGCAGCTCCTAGCAGCTCCAGGGAGAGGGTGCCCCTTAGGGTCAGATCAGTACAGTCCTGATATTAGCTGTTCCTGTTTTCTGTGGACAGAGTTGGGGGCTGCCTCAGCCAGCCCATCTGCCCTCAAGGGCCCCGCAGCACCCTTCAGAGACCCGGAGGCAGGGTCATAGCTCCTCTGTGGCTGTGACTGGCTTGTGCTGTCCCCACATGGTCCTGCCACCTTGAGGGCCATTTATTGACCTCCTCTGAGAACTGGACCTGGCATTGCAGAAGTCTTGGCAAAGCAGTTCTCCCCTCATCTGTACTCTGCTTCTGGTACAGCAGTTACACATCACGTTTGACTTCGAGGCACTGCCTCATGGCCAGCTTGCCTCCAAACTTAAGATTTGAGTTGTCATCTTTTCAGCTTTAGAACCTTGCCCAAAGCTGCTGGTGCAAGCAGCTCCCTGCAAATGGCAGGGCTGCTGGCCAGACAGACAGGCTGCCCTCCACCCCACACTCCCACCATGCATCCAGGCAGGGGGCCAGAGAGCTGAGGGAGCAAAGCCCTTCACTGAGACTGCCCTAGACAGGGGCCACTCCACACTGTCCACAGAATCGTAGCAAACTGCCCACTAGGTCCATGGGTCAAGGACTTGGGGCTCCGTGGACCCCAGGCCCGTGGGGATGTGGACTCTCCTCAGTAAACCACTCCGACAGGAGCCCACCATTGTTGCTTTCCTTGGTTCTATGTAGCTGAGACTGCCCTATATCCTGGCTCTTGATCACCTAGTGAGCTTCTTCAGGCAATGCTGATTGTTTCTTTTGTTTGTTTGTGGGGCAGGGGGGTGCAGTGTTTAATGAGAACCTTCTCATCAGAGATTTTCCGACTACATGCATCACATAGGAGGGAGGAGTTTTGGCATCTAAACTCGTGGTGCCAGGGATGTGAATCAGACCATGAGAACTCACCTATGCGGCCCAGCCCGATGACACCCACAGTGCTCTGGGTGAGGCCATGACCACACAGCCACAGGGGCTTCCAGGAAGTCCAGCCGCCGCTGTGGAGAAGGAGGTGGTGAGTGAATGGGCCTCTGGCCAACACAACAGCCAACTGCAGACTCGGGCCCAGCAGTGCAGGGTGAGGTACTGTAGAACCAGTGGACTAAGGCAGGTAGTAGAGCCCCAAGGCCCATCTGCTGGGGTGACAGAATCGTCTGTCTTGAGCCACCAGTGAAAGTCAGCAGGGCATTCAACACTGTTTCTGGCCTGCCTCATGTTGTTCCTGCACCTCCCCACCCTGAAGTCCACCCCCCTCACACCTGATGATGCCCAGCCTTCACCTCAGCTGTTTGCTGCCCTTGGACGGACTTCCCCAACTCTTACTAGACAGGCCTGAACCCCAAGGGCCAGATCTCAGACTTCTTTGGCCTTTAGAAAGGCTGTGCAGTACCCGCGCTGTCTTCTACTTCACACCCTTGGCAGTCGGGGGCCTGCACCTCAGCACTTCTGCAGCTACGCTTACGGCCATCCCCACGGAATGCTATGAATGAGCACCGGAGACAGCCTCATGGGGTGCCAGACAGGGTTGGCTCCCAAAAGAGTGATGCAACACCTTTGAGAGTGTTGGGGATTTTGGCACCGGGTTGAGGGGTGGCAGGCTGGTACCTCTCAGCACTGAACGGGATGGCCGGCTGCTGCTGCTTCCAGGAAGCCTGCCTGGTCCACACCTCCTCCTAACAGGACTGAATTTATCCCCGAGCCCTGCTCCTCTCCTCTCAGGATCCCTTTCAGTTCTGCCTTGTGCTTAGTCTTCTGCCTGAGTCTGCTCCCTGGCTCCCACACATACACTGGGTGGTACTGGGTGGTAGGCGCCCTGGGACTCAGTTGCGCAAGAACCAGCTAGGAGCTGAGCCCACTCTCCCATCAGGTCTTTACTCACTTCTTCACTTCTTCGATGGCCTCCGGCAACCTGCGGCAGGCAGAGAGCAGCAGGGAGACGGCGAGTTCAGCAGTGGCATCCGTCAGGACATCAGGGGTGTAGCCCACTCGGATCCCACTACGAGGCAAACATCTAGTAACATCTCCCGCAAGCATCCTCACCGATTCCTACTGCTGGGGCATGACACTTGGTTCCCTCTTTACTATGCCTGCCAGGAAGCTCAGCGCTAGAAATGAGCACCCATGAATGTTCACCCTTGTTCCATGGCAATTACCTCCCCCTTTGGGAAGGATATACAGATAAGGGTTCCAGGGCAAGTAACTACGTAACTTCGAATGTCTTCATCTGTCTAGGGCAGGCATCCTCAAACTACAGCCTGCAGACCACATGCAGCCCACCGAGGACATTTATCTGGCCTGCCAGGTGTTTATGCCCCGTTTTGTTTTTTTACTTCAGAATAAGATATGTGCAATGTGCGTAGGAATTTGTTCATAGTTTTTTTTAAACTATAGTCCAGCCCTCCAACGGGTCTGAGGGACAGTGAACTGGCCCCCTGTTTAAAAAGTTTGAGGACCCCTGGTCTAGGGAAACGAAGGAGCCCTGGTGAGGCAGTGGCTACAGTGCTTAGTTGCCGACCAACAGGTCAGCGGTTCTGTGGGAGAGCAGTGGCATTCTGTCCCCGTAAAGATGACAACCGACAGCCTTGGGAAACCATGGGCAGTTCTAGTCTAGCCTGCTGGCAGCTGTGAGTTGGAATCAACTCCATGAGTTCACAGGGAAGCACGGAGACTTGCCTTTTGCCCTGAGGGGCTGCAGGGGTCAGAAAGAGACTGGCTGTGGCAGGGTGACATACAGGGCAGGTGCTATACACTCATTCTGACCTCTGGACTTCCTGCTGAGCTGTGTCCCTGTGGGCACATTTTATCACCGGCCACCTCACATGCTCACCAAATGGCAGAGCGGCTCGGCGTGAAAATAAAGCCAGCCTCAGCTCTTCTCCCATCTTTCCGCCCCCCCCCCCCCCAGAAGCCCAGGCCGAATTTACCGCTTCTTGATTTCGTCTAGAGCCAAATGGTCCACGCCCACGGACAGCGTGCTGATGACTTTGAGATCGGCTCCTGGGGTGCAGACAAAGCAGCCTTTGGGTCCTTCTGAGTGGATCGCAAGGCCCACCACAACCACAGGGGCACCTGGCTGCTTATCATTTTCTTAGAGTCAGGGTCAAGGCTGGTGTCCCTGTTCATTTAAAATTCGGCAACAGCAATGGTTCACGAGGGAATGAAAGGTTCCAAAGTTGTTGGTGGAAATGCACGCACACCTTTTTTTTTTGCACACCCTTCTTAATACAACTGAACTCTAGTGAGTTGTATGATTGTTAATTACATCACAATTGAACTATGTAAAAAAAAAAAAGAACAACCCATTCACCAGGTACTGACAAGGACTCAGCGGCATTAAGGATGCCATGTGGCCCCCGAGACTGACACCAAGGGCCCTGCTCTTCCTCACTAGACCAGTGGTTCCCAAAGAGAGCAGTGCCGCCCCTAGGGTACCTACATGTTACCCTGGATCATGGGCTAGGGTACAACAGTTTCAAATGCCAGTGGGGTGCTGACTAATTTTTTTTTTTCCTAAAAAGGAGTGATAGGCCAAATAAGTTTGGGAACCAATGGACTTGACTGTCTGCCCTGTGAGGTCCTCCCCAGGCACTTGAGAGAGCACCATGAAGGTGGGCAGCAGCACCCTCTTCACCAGGCAGGCAGGCAGCTCCCAGGCCAAGGTTGGGGTGCGGGAGTCAGTCCTGACTCAAGGACTGAGGGCCTTGGGTGCTGTCTCCCTCACCAGCTGCCTCCCTTCAGGAAGCCCCCTGGGCAGGACAGAGGGTCACTGTGTGTGCCAGGTGGGGCAGCAAACACTGCTTCCTAGGTCCCTGTTGGCCTGCTCCTGGAGCCTGCAGGCCAAGATGCCAGTCCGGTGCACACACCTGCCAAGTCCAGGAGCTTCTTGTCCACGTGATCGGAGAGAAGGCACAGCAGGCCGTGGGCACCAGCCACACCCCGCTCGAGCTCCTTGCGGGGGATGGGCTCGTCCGAGTCCCACTGCTCCACTTCACAACTTAAGGCAAAGAAAAGGTCACTCAGAAGTTGGGAGTCACACAGCCCCCACCTCCTCACCCTCATCCATATACCCTACAGCCACCCCTGCCTCCCTCTCTAAGCTGATCAGTTGTTGGGGAGACCATGGAGGGAAGTGGAGGGTCTGGATTATGCAATGAATGGACTGAGTTGTGCCCCTCCTAAAAATAAGGGGAACGAAACTTGTAAGCCAAATCACACTGAGATCTACTGGCCGACCAAGGCTCTTCCTCTAGATTCCCTGTCAACAGCCTGAACTTAAGACTCCCATCCTCCAGATGTGTGAGAAAGCATGTTTCTATACTTATGAGCCATGCCGGTGGGGGTACTTTGTATGGCAGCTTCCCTGACCGCTGCATCTCCTCCTGTCCTGAGAGCCCACGACTCGGAAACTCGCACTTGGACAAGATGACCATGAAAATGCAACATGGAGGTTCAGGGCCACATCCCTGGCAGCACCGTCAGAGAACGCACATACATATATACTACACACACACACACACACACACACACACACACACACACACACGGAGCATGTACTGCGCACCCATAGAACGCAATGCAAATCGAGTGCACACATGTATAATGGAAAGAAGAAACCGACCATGCGAGTTATGCATCTTATGCAAATTACATAGCACTGCGCTAAAGCACAGTACATTTCCAGGGCCTCTCAGGCCTTGCCATTGAATTCCGTCGACACCAATGGCAGCCACTGGGAGCACCCAGGCAGGGGTCACTTTCCGTCCACCTGTCACAGTGAGCTCTGGTTGGGTAGTGGGCTACAGGTTGGGTAGCTATGCATAATGTCGCCAGTTCAAACCCTTTTGCTTCCATCAAAATGAAAAGCCTCAACACAAAAAACCACTGAAAGGCTCTGTCGCATGCGTCCACTATGAGTCGGGGTGGACTGGGCTGCAGTGAGTTTGGTTGGGTTTCGACACAAGCCTGGTGCCCAGTGGGGGCAACTGTCACCTTCTCCCCGCCTCTTTGGTAATTAACACGTCTCCATGGAATGAAATGGAAAACAAATCTCACCCCCTCCCCCGAAAGTTGTTTGCGAGGCTGGCTCCCACCTCGCTCTCCCTGCCCGAGTGAGCAGTGTCCATCAGGCAGAGTGAGGCGGGCCGGCCGACTGAGCGCAAACCCCGGCGAGGCTGCGTGACTATGGGCAACGTACTTAATTAACCTTTCCCGGCCTCTGCTTTCTCATCTGTGAATCGGGAATCTTAAGACCCAGTTCACAGGATCCCAAGGGTCACGTTAGTTTATTAGATGAAGCGCCCGCGAGGCTGGCACACAGACAAGTTCAGTTTTCAGTGGTCACCCCAGCGTCCTGCCAACTGCCCAAAGAGGACACTCAGTGGCTGCCGCAGCCTCTGACCGCACCTGCCTGTCGTCAGGAGGGTGACCTCGGAGAGTGACGGACTCAAAGCCTGACCCGTGCGTCCTGGCGCTCTTCCCTGTCCCGGTGACAGTGACCAAGGAGTCCAGTGCCCCCTCCCGGCGTCACTGCACCGGGCCTGGAGAGAGCTGGGGCCCGTCGCACAAAAACGATCTCCCAAGAACTTGAGGCCCGTCAGGCTTCGGCGCTGGCCCAAAGCGCCAGCGTCCTCGCCGGCTCTGGCCCCTGGGGCAGGCCCGCCTTCCCTCCGCAGAACACCTGGGGCCTCTGGAGGCCGCCCCCAGCTCCTCCAGCGCGGCGCCACGCGCCCCCGAAGGCGCGCCCGGGAGTCACGGAGTCACCCTGAGTGACTGGGGGCTGGGGGCAGCATGCGCCGGGGGCTCCAGCCTCTTCCCGCGTCCCGCCCAACCCCGTGCGCCCCGCGGGGGTGTCGGCGCGCGAGGAGCTGCCGGCCCTTCTTACTCTGCCGCCCCAGAGAGCGCGGCCCTGCCCTCCGGGGGGATCCTGCGGGTGACGAACACCTTCATGAGTCTCGCAGGCCTCATGCAACCTGCAGCCCCTGGACACCGAGCAGGCCCGGCCGGATCGCGCGGCCCGGGAAGTGGAGCCGGGCCTGGGTGGAGCCTCCGGGGAGGCGGGGCCTCGGCGTGCGGGGCGGGGCCTCGGCGTGCGGGGGCGGGGCGGGGGGCGTGGACTGACTTGTGAGTCCGGCACCGATGTCGGGGTGAGCGTGCTCGTAGGTGTTGGTGACTGCGCATACTCGGCAGCAGTACTGGGGTGCGTGGGGGGCTGGGGGTGTCAGCATCTGGGAAGGCCCCTGTAGTACTTTGTGCGATTCCACACGGGAAGCCCATACTTGTCGCGGACCCGGCGTTGCTGGAAAGCGCCGGCTGGCCGGGAGGAAGGTTGGCACCAAGGCCAAGCACAGGGTCCGAAGCCCGGCTCTGCCCCCTACGGACTGCCTCACTTGCTTCTCCAGCCACAGGGGGAGGGAAGGTCGTTGGCGCCGGCAGCACAGCGGGGCCGTGAAGAAGCGGGGTCAGGTGCTCAGGCTCTGGGACCAGGCAGCTTGACCTTTTATCCCAGCTCTGCCATTAACGAGAAATTCAACTTCAGTTTGCCTCAGTTTCCTTATCTGTAAAATGGGGACAATAATAGTTCCTGTCTCATGCTTACACCGCCTGGGCACTTGACAAATGTCAACACACCCAGTGTCCTAAGTCCAAAAATTGGTTACTCGAAGGGGCAGAAGTTTAAAGCCAGACTCAAGCAGTGGGAGGGAGGAGACCGTAGGTTGTGGGATGCAATAGGGTTTTTCCCCAGGTAGTCTGCTTCAAATATATGCCAAACCTAGGACGCCGCTTGCATCACATGGTAAATGACTGTACACTGGAGGTCAATGCAAGCTGCTTAGAGGTTAATCTCCCTGAGAGTTCTCAGCCATCTACCATGTTTCCCCGAAAGTAAGACATCCCCTGAAAATAAGAGCTACTTACAGTTTTGCCTCTTGCTGAAATATAAGACCTCCCCGAAAATAAGCCACCCCAAAGCTACCGTAGCAGTGGTTGGCGCTGCTGCGCAGCTCACTGTTGACCCCGGCGCAGCCAGAGCAGACAGGAAGTGCGAGGTCTCTTTTAATAAAACAATAAACAATAAATGTGTACCGTATTCTTCTTCATGGAAAAATAAGATATCCCCTGAAAATAAGACCTAATGCATCTTTGGGAGCAAAAATTAATATAAGACACTGTCTTATTTTCGGGGAAACAGGGTAGCAATCAGACTATAGTCTGTCCCACCTTAAGTAGGGCCCACTCCCTTCTGATAAGGATAGTGGACTGTTGCCTTGAGGGAGAATCCAGAGCAGAGGTCTAAATAAAGGCATGTGCATATGTAAATAGATTTATATATGAGGATGGGGAAATAGATCTATGTGCATATATTTATAGGTTTAGTATTAAGGTAGCAGATGGACATTGGGTCTCCACTCAAGTACTCCCTTGATGCAAGAATACTTCATTCTATTAAACTGGAATTCCACGATGCTCACCTTGCCGACACAATCGCTGAAGACAAAGCGGGTGCATAAGCAGACATGAAGAAAGCTGTTGGTGCCCGGCTATCAAAAGATATAGTGTCTATGGTCTTAAAGGCTTGAAGGTAAACAAGCTGCCATCTAGCTCAGAAGCAACAAAGGACACATGGAAGAAGCACACCAGCCTGTGTGATCGTGAGGTGTTAAAAGGATCAGGTATCAGGCATCAAAGAACAAAAAATCAAATCATTGTAAATGAGGGGGAGTGCAGATTGGTGACCCAAGACCCATCTTCAGGCAACTGGACCCTTACAGAAGGGTCTTGGGGAGCAGATAAGCCAGTCAGGGTGTGGTATAGCAACGATGAAACATACAACTTTCCTCTAGTTCCTAAATGCTTCCTCCTCCGCCCCCCACTATTATGATCCCAATTCTGCCTTACAAATTTGACTAGACCAGAGGATGTACACTGGTACAGATAGGAACTGGAAACACAGGGAATCCGGACAAATGGTCCTTTCAGGACCAGTGTGATGAGAGTGGCGATACTGGGAAGGTGAAGGGAAGGTGGGGTAGAAAGGGGGAACTGATTACAAAGATCTACATATAACCTCCTCTCTGGGGGATGGACAACAACAGAAAAGTGGGTTAAGGGAGATGTTGGACAGTGTAAGATATGACAAAATAATAATAACATATAAATTATCAAGGATTCATGAAGGAGGGGAGAGTGGGGAGGGGGGGAATGAGCTGATACCAAGGACTCAAGCAGAAAGCAAGTGTTTTGAGAATGATGATGGCAACAAATGTACAAATGTGCTTGACACAATGGATGGATGTATAGATTGTGATGAGTTGTACAAGCCCCCAATAAAATGATTAAAAAAAAAAAAAAAGGAGAGTCCAGAGACAAGGTCAAGCCCACTCCAGGATGACCAAGGTTAGGCTGCCATCTTGAATCTAGGGTCAGCCCATCTTGTCATATGTGTACCCCTAATCCCTCCCCTTCCTATTACATGTACACCCCTAGATCGCCCCCTCCCATTGTTTATATTGCCTATGGTACAACCCCTTCCTGTTACATATGTGGTTACCTGTAATCAGGGGAGCTTGCACACTCCCCAGAGATATATAAGCCTTGGTTAGAAATATATGTCTCTCCTTCTCCTCCTCCTCTCGTCTCCCATCTCCACGTGGACCACCAAGAAGGGCTGAGGTGAGCATGCTACCATGAAATGTGTTTGACTCCTTTATTTTACTCTGCCTCCTATTTCTCCTATTCTCTATGTCGACTTTACTATAATCTTTATATATTATCACCGTATAATTGTGCCTACGGACCCCGATGTTGTTAGAGGCTGGTTACTCTAACAGTAGGTCAGCCTGCTGCTTCATGTGTGCCTGGGGTCTCTTCAGTTACTTGCTCCTAGGCCTGCCTGGGGGGTCTCTCTGCATACTGTTCTGCCCTGAGTGTAGCAGAATCTGAATCCGCCTCCTGGGGTCCAGATAAGGAAGCTGGAATATGTACAGAGAGGTGATATCATCAGCTTCAAGTCACATGACAAGTCGCTGGAGAGGCCTGAGCTGGCACCGGTGCTGCCTGGGTCCTGTGCCACCTGCTACATCCTGACTTGAGTGATATTAGTAAGTGTCTGATCCATAGCTGCTGTCTGCACTCCTAGGCCACCTCACCCATTTCTGAAGTCCATCAAACATTGGCAAAATGAGGTGTTTTTCTGTCCCTAGGCCAGTCGACTGGGGTCAGTCACTCCGCCTTCTGTTAATGAGTTATGACACTGGAACCCAGGTCCTCCCAGGCAGGACAGTCAAGGACACTGGGAAAGTTTGTCCATCAGGGTCAGGAGAGTCATGCCACGTTGGCGAGTCTCCTCCCCCAAGACCAAGCACGCCGTGTGCGGTCAATAAGTGCTGTGGGGTGGTGGACCTGGGGCCGATACACGAATCCAGTCAGGGGACTCTGGCTTTGGAGGGCAAGGAGGCTGCTCTGGGTGTCACTTGGTCAAAATAATTATAACTAGTAGCTGGTATCTAAGGAGCTCTTGGTAAGTTCCAGTTGCCCAACTTGGACACTGTAGCAGGAGAGCCCAAGGGCAACTTTGTGTTTGATAAAGTACAGCCAGCAGGGATCTGTGAAATGGATTGGCCCAATAGCCGCTCAATGAACTTGAACTTGGGGGTGATTGTGAGGATGGCCCAGGCTTGAGCAACTCTTCATCCCGTTGTGCGTCAATTAAATTCCAACTAACAAGTAAAATCCAGACACTGCACATGGTAACTCTCTAGTGTAAACTTCTCAGCACCCAAAAAAGGTGCATACTCTTACTGACCCCAGTTTATAGAGGAGGAAGTTGAAGCCGCCAACAGGGAAGGCCTTCACTCAAGCAAGATCACACACCTAGAAAGAAGTAGAGCTTGGATTCAAGTTCTGGCCCTCTGGTTCCAAACTTCTGCTCTTAATCGCCTTGTAAGCTTGTGGGAATGGGGGGGGTGAAGAAGGCGATAAGGGGCAACTTAGAGGTATGTGGCTTAGGGGACTCTTGAAGGTGGCCGTCACGGGACTGGGATCTCGGGAGGAAGGGTGCCAGTGTTAGGTATAGGGAGGGGAGAAATGCAGGCAGCCTGGCAGGTGCTACATTTGAGATGCCTGGGGGATTCTCCTGAGGACAGATTCAGGTGGAAGACCGCGTAGTATCTGAGGCTTTAGGGTCGCTGTGAGTTGGAAGGCGAGACTTGGTCTCACACACTTGGACGTGTGGTCAGGAGAGAGCAGTCCCTGAAGAAGGACATCGCGGGAAAGTGCAGGGGCAGCACGCGAGAGGGAGGCCCTCGGCGAGATGGACTGACACCAGCCTCCAAAACCGAAGACGACTGTGAGGATGGGGCAGGTCCGGGAGGTGTGTCCCTCTGCTGTCCACAGGGAACCGGCTCCACAGGACTTGACTGGACTGAGCGGAGCACTGAGCGGGTTCTCCAGCTCGGCCCGCGGCGACTCTGGGTGATGCTCTGATGACGGAGTTCGCTTTTCACTGAAAGATGCTCATCCAGAGAGATGCTCATCCAGAGAGATGCTCATCCAGAGAGATGCTCATCCAGAGCTCTGGGGGTGCGCGGCGCGAGGTCAGGCGTTTTCTGCGCAGACTTCCCCTCTGACTTATGTATTTCTTGCTTTACTCTGGCTTTGGTGCCTCTGCCAGAACACAAGCTCCTGGACAGCGGGGCTCAGCTGCCTGGTTCATGCTGCCCCCCAACAGTCTTGCACGTGGCAAGTGCTCGGCAGCTATTTGTTGAATAACGGAATGAATGATGCAAGGACGCTTGGTTGTCTTGCCTTTATGACCCATCCCGGCTGGGACTTTGTTGTTCTATCACCACCCAGTGGTTACGTTTGTGTACTGCGGGGTGGGGGAGAAAAAGGCTCGGCCGGTTAAGTGTCTGATCCAAGCCAGAGGTGGAGGACTGGCCCAGAGCTCCCTGGAGGAGAACTTTCCTGAAGGAGGCCGCATTAGAACGGACCA